TCAAGAAAGAAAGGAAGAATGGAAAGGAGAGAAAGAGTCATTGAAGTATTTTCTAAATGTGCAGAAGAAAACAGAACTAAGGCCAGAAAGAAACATAGACACACTCAGCTTGAAAGTTACATATTGGATTATTTTATGCTTAAAAGGAAAAGTACAGTGCACATAATAGACAATGGTGATTTCATCTATGAGACTCTTTTTCTGTTCTACTTTGTATATGGAAATTTTTGTTATATTCAGTGTTAGTTAAGTTTGGGGGGCGGAGCTAATTTAATGAAAACTCCAAAGTGCTCCATTTAACAGATGAGGAAACTGAGGCCCAAAGAAGTCAGGTAACAAGTGTCAAACTCAGGTCTTTTAACTCCCAGGTAATTAGTTTTTCCACCCCAATGCCTAGCTAGACTTCTTCACTTGGTGAAGGGTCTAAAAATACTTAATGGAGGCCAATAATATATTGGACTACACTTCCTGGCTTCTTCTTTGTTAATTTAATCTACTTCATGACATTGTGCTAGTTTGACCTACAACGAAAGTATTAAAAAAAAAAGGAATTATCATACATGACTGCAATCATGTCAGAATATAAAAAGTCCACAGAGTGCCTGTATAGGGAAATACTAATGTCTTTGCTCAGCCCTTCTGAGTGAAATCTCTGTAACTCTGCCTGTATAACATAGCTCTGGTGAGTGAGGAGAGGAAGATTTGGGGTTAGAATTCAAAACATTTGGGTAGAAAAGTCCATGGATCAGTCATCACATGGGGAGCTCATTATGGATTCATTCATGATGGTTAATCCAAGAGAGGAGAAAATGTTTTGTGGGTTTCAGGGAGAAGGTACACAATGTCCTCCCATGAACTAGTTGAGGGGAATGTTTGGTATGCTTTTTTTCTCTCTCTCTCTGATTTCTGAGTCCTGCTGTCCTACACGACTGATGCCACATGCCATGAAACCTTCTCGGATGACACCTCCCTGAGACGGGTAGAAAATAGAACTGCTCGCATCTCCTGTTTCTGGAGGATCATTCATATTTGTCTCCAGCTTTGGGCAAAGAATTACTTTCTCCTTGGGCATTCTCTTATTCTTGACCCCTGAGTGAGAGAGGTAAACAACTTGGGGTCCATGTATCTTATTTCAGAGAGAATGCTAAGATCTGATTCCAAGGAACATAACATCATGAGATGAAATGTAGATAAAAAAGCACAAATCAGTGCTTCTGAGGCTAGAGATAAGTTGGCACCCAATGTCCAGAAAAATCTAAGCAGGGATTCCATTTCAGTTTGCCAGCTTTTGGTGGCAGAAGTGATGGGTGGGAGTGAGGAGGGAGTGTGATGTTGATTACACAACATTCCCTCCCTCACCTATCCATCCCAATTTCCTTCTTCAAATGATTTCATTTCAGAAATGTTATCATACCTCTGCACGTAGGAGAGCACTCTGACAGTGTTCCAAGATAGGAGAAACAGAAATCAAGTAGAACTAAAAAAAATAGATAAAGATCATAATTTAATAGCATTTTTTTCTTTTTTCTTTGAATGGTTTCTTCACAATCTCTTTGGAGATTTTTTTTTTTGCAGATATTAAACATAATTGATTCTGCTTAGGAAAACCTCGTTATTTTACCAATTAGTAAAATTGGTGATTAATTTGACCTGGACCAGACTGAAGTTTTACTTCTGTCCTGCTTCAAAAAATAAAAAAAAAAGGTTACCAAGCAAATTGATTCAGGTCTGTAAAGTTATGCTTGGTTTTCCTAGCCAGCCAATCAATCAATTGAGTGACAAGTATTTATTGAATACAATGTACTGTGGAAGATGCACAGGGGGTTTAAGATATTGCCCCTCTTTTTAAGGTACAGTGGAAAGAATATGAGTTTTAACATCAGAGGACCTGGGTTCAAATCTCACCCCTGACACTTTTTAGCTGTGTGGTCTTGGGCAAATCATTTCACCTCCCCCGGCCTCAGTTTCCTTACCTGAAAAAATGAGGATATTGGATTCAATGGCTTCTGAGGTCCCTTTTAGCTGTAGATTTAGGACATTTGGCATCATTGTCCACACAAGTAACTGGGTACATGCCAGATACATACAGAGTAGATGGAATGTAATCTGAAAGGTAAGGCATCAGCAACTGAGGAGACCAGGGAAAACCTCCTGCAGAAAGCCTTGAGATGAGTCAAGAAGATCATTCATAGCCTGAGGGCCAGATAGCGCAAAGGCACTCACATGAGAGACGGAACTTTCTGTTTGAAGAACAGTAAATAAACCAGTATAACTAGACTGTAGAATGCATAGACAGAAATGAAATGTGAGAAGTTTAGAGAGGCTCGGTGGGCCCAGATTATGAAAGGGCTTTAAATCACAAAAGAGAATTTTGTAATTGATCATGGAGGAAATGGGGTTGTTGCACAGGGGTGTGTGACATGGTTAGACCTGTACTTTAGAAAACTTATCTTAGTATTTGAGTGGAGGATGGATTGGAATAGGGAGTGACTTTGGGTGAGAAGACTGGTGATGAGTAATGACAAGGTCAGGAGAGGTGATGAAAAGACCTGAAGAAGAAAGTGGTAAATCCAAGACATACTTTGAAGGCAGGAAAAAAAAAGTTAGATAGAAGGAACGAAGGAGAGAAAAAGAGTCAGAGATGAGGCCAAGGTTTCCAGCCTGAGAGACTAGAAGAATGGAAATTCACAGAGATGGTGTATTTGATGGACAAAACTTTATATTTGTTCCTTGGGACTGTCTAGAGGCAAAGTGCTGTCAACCTCTGATCAGCATTAGGAACCACATGGATCTGTTCACATTTAGGCTCTCTGCCACTTCCTTAAGCGTTCTGTGTTCCCTCCCCCACCTAAATGACCCCTTCTCCCCTCCAGCGAAATTAACTCCAATATGAACAGTTCAAGTGAGAGCCAAACCTCTCCCTCCCAAAACACTAATTAAAAACCACAGATTTTTTTTTTTGATTTCTGGAGCCAAAAGACATCTTGGGAGAACTTAGTCCTTCCCTCTGCCTCCAGGTCTGTCTGTGGAAACCATCCCAGGGAGAGATGATAATCAGTATTGTATTTAAAAACCTTGGAAAGAGGAGATTCCACAATCTTCTCCCTTCCCTCCCCACCTCACCCACCCCCAAACCTTCACTTTGATGATTACTGGTTCTCACAGTGAGGTCGTTGTTTTCTCCAAGTGCCCCAGTTTATTAGGGATGAAGCAATCTGGCAGATCACAGAAAAGACAAATAAATGTCCTTGTCAGAAGGCACGCACTTTCTATCTTTCCCTTCATGGGATAATGCTTTAAAAGTTAATGAACTTGGAAAAAGTCAGTGTACAAGGGATGCAGGAAGGCTGCATGCTAATAGTCTGCTGGGGGAGCAATGATTTTGGAAGGTGATTTGGGTTGATGCAAAGAAATTGATTAAAATGTCCATACCCTTGGGCGATCACTTATCTTCAGGGAGCCCCAGTGTGTTCATTTGTGTAATGGAGATACCAGTACTTATTCTACTTAACTCACTGGATTGTTGTGAGGATTTAAAGTATTCTTCACCAAGTGAAGAATAATGTAAGCAATTTGTTCTTCAACAGCAAAGGATCGTGAGAACGAGAGCTATTGATATTTTAAAAGCCAAATCTAGCTGCAGTTGTTTTTTCCCTTATACTGAATACCTTACTGCAACCTGTTTTCATGCAGATCAACTTCTTTGCTCATTTCCCAACTATGTGGCACAGTGTATACAGTAACAGACTCTGGAGTCAGACAGTTGTTAATCAGTCATCTTTCAGTCCTGTCTAACTCTTCATGACCCCATTTGTGATTTTTTTGGCAAAGATACTGGAATAGTTTATCATTTCCTTCTCTAGCTCATTTTACAGACAAGAAACTGAGGCAAACAGAGTTAAATGACTTGCCCAGGCTCACATGGCTAATTTAGCAGTCTGAGACCAGGTTTGAATGCAGATCTTCTTGACTTCAGACTTGATGTTCTATCCATTGCACCATTTGACTGCCCCAGGAGTCAGGCAGAATTGAGTTCAAATCTTGCCTTACTATGTGTGATTTGGGGCAAATCCTTTAACCTCACTTTCTCAATCTGTAAAATGGTTATAATCCTAGTAACTATTTCACAAGGTTATTATGAGGATGAAATAAGATACATGAAATGCTTTGCAAACCTCAAAGTTCTATATAAGTGCTATCCACTTATTATTAATACATTTCCTATTTTTCCCACATTATTATGATGGACATCTGTAGCAGCTTCCTCTTAATCCCCATCCATTTCCAAATCAGCCCATCCTTATTTCACAGAACTAATCTTTAATCACAGAATGGACCATAAAAGAAATTGTAATTTATAACTTCATCTCTGGTGCAAATTTAGGTAGAGAAGAAAGATGGTAATACCCAAAGGTATATTTAGAACTTGAGTAATTAGTGATATTAATAGCACTTGGGGCTTGTGTAATATATTGCCTTTGACTCAAAGTACTTTTAAAAAAACAAGTCCATCCAGTCTTTCCAAGCTTGGAGAAAATGTTGGGCAACATTTATTGTTATCCTATTTCATAGAGGGTGATACTGAGGCACTAAATAACTGAGGTCCTTGTACAAGTTCTAGCTGGTGTGAGAATTCAGTTTCTATCTCTGGAAGCATCTAACCAGTTATGAGCCAGATATGTTGTTGTTGGGTTTGTTTGTTTGTTTTTTTTAACTATGTCTCCTTTTCTATTGATGTTTTTTCTTGTTGGTAAGTGAGGTGGTTAACTCTTTCACAATCGGTGCCAGACACTAATAATCTTTCAGGACTCAGCTCTCATCTGACTTTTCAAGACACGGCTCAAGTCCCAACCTCTACAGTCTCTTCCAGCTGCTAAAGCTTTCCCCTTCTAAGATTACTTTCTGTCTATTCTGTATATTCTGGTATGTTCAGAGTTATTCACATTCTTCTCCATTGAAATATAAGATCCTTGAGGGCAGGGACTGTTTTTGCCTTTTTTTATATATCTAGTTCTTATCACAGTGTCTGGTACACAGTAAGTACTTAATAAATGCTTAATGGCTGACTAATTTCATTTTATTTTCACTATATTTATTTTATTTTTATATTTCACTAATTTCACTATTTTCACTAATTTCACTTGTATATGGTATGTCAAAGTAGCATGACCCCAAGAAAGGCTGACTCTCTCCCAACTCTGTTTCACCAAAGTAAAATGAAAAGATTGAGACATCAAATACATCCCTGCAGGTTGTTGGCCTTACTCTTAGATGATCATCTGTGTGGTACTAGATCTGAGAGTCAACTATAAAGAACATATGAAGAAAGACACTCTTTGCATCCAGAGAAAGAACTGATGAATAGATGTATACATAGAATTATTTTACATATATTATATATATATATACACACATATATGTGTGTGTATGTATGTATTTATACACACACACACACACACACACACACACACACGCACGCACACACATACCTATTTGTGTCTAATAGTAGCCATGAGTGGGATGAGGGAAGGGAAAAGAAAGAAATTTACATGATAACTTTGTTGTATATTTAGAGGGAATAGCAATTTGTACATAATGGATTTGCAGTTTCATGTGCAATCATCTTTTTTATTATACTATGTTATGGAAATGCTTATTTAGAAATCAAATATGGAAGGGGGAAAAAAGCATCAAGTCAAATCAAGTTAATGAGCATTTATTAAGGCCTACAATATGCCAGGCACCATACTAAATGCTGGGGATACAAAGAAAGACAAAAACAGTCCCTGCCCTCAAGGAGCTCATAGTCTAATGGGGAGACAAAATGCAAATAATCATGAATAAACAAGCTATATACAAGATATATTAGAGGTAATCTTCAATTATCTCTAATTAAAGGGGATTGAGACAGACTTTCACAGAAGATGGGATTTTTGACTGGGATTTGAAGGAAGCCGAGAGGTGGAGATAAAGAAGGAGAGTATCCCAGGCATAAGGGAAAGCCAGTGTAAATGAATAGAGAAGTGTCTTGTGAGAAGAAAAGCAAGGAGGCCAGTTTCCTTGGATCATATTTGGAGGGTAGTAAGGTATAAGAAGATTGGAAAGGTAGGAAGTGTCTAGCTTATGAAAGTCTTTCAAAGGTGAACAAGATTTCATATGTGTTCCTGGAAGTAACAGGAACTACTGGAATTTATTGAATTTTATTTGGATTTTATTTTTATTGAGTTTTATTTTAATTGAATTTATTGAGTGAGTGACATGGTCAGAGCTGTGCTTTAGGAAAATCAATTTGATGTCAGAGTGGAAAATGGACTGGAGTAGGGAGAGACTTGAAGCAGGGAAACCAACCAGCAGGCTATTACAATAGTCCAGGCATAAGGTGATGAGGTCCTGCACCTGAGTGGTAACAATGTCAGAGAAGAGAAGGGGGTGGATTCAGGAGATGTCATAAAGGTAGAATTGATACTACTTAGCAACAGATCGTATATATGGAGGTGAGAGAGAGTGAGAAGTAGAGAATGACTCCTAGGTTTCAAAGCTGGGTGATTGGGAGGATGACAGTGTCTTTGAAAATAATGGGGAAGTTAGGAAGGGGAGAACATTTGGGAGAAAGATAATGAATCTAGTATTCTACGTGTTGAGTTTAAGATGACTATGGGACATCTAGTTTGAGATATCCAATAGGCATATGGAAGTGTAAGACCACAGATCAGGAGAGAGGTTAGGACTGGAGAAATATATTTGAGAATCTACTGCATAAAAGAGATGATAATTGAATCTCTGGGAGCTAATGAGATCACCATTTGAGAGGTGTTGTGAATGAGTACCTATCCAAAATTGTCTCTGGACATAGCTGTAGTATAACAGAAAGAGACTGGATCTGAAGCGAGAAGACCTGCTAAATGATCACTGTCTTTTGACCTGAGCCTCAATTTCCTCAGCGACAAAATAAGAGGGTTATACTACATGTCTTCAGAAGCCCCTTCTAACTTGAGATCTATGGATCTGTGCTCTAAGTTCTGCCACTTATTTTGTAGGTAATGTTGAAGAAGTCACTTATTCTCTCTTCCTCAGTTTCCTCATCCATCAGA